GAATGCCTCACAAAAGTTTGTGCACGACCCATTTCGAAGTATTTCCCCAAATGCTTGCTTTAGCATTTCATAGGTTTCTGTAGCCGTTTTGGCGAGTCTTTGGCAAAATTTGATGCACACGCCATTCCGAAATCGCAGGAGGGTCGGTGTAATGCACTACCAAAACGCCCGTAACTAAGAAACAAATGCTAATTCGATGATGCCTGGTTGGCACACTGATTCACTATGAATGTAGGCCGCACCCCCTAGTATTACATCCGATTCGCCCTCTATTGACACAGTCTTGAAACTTTCCGATCGCACCTCGTAGTGTCACAGGCAAAAGTAAAGTTGCTCCTGGTGCTAAAGTACTATTGCATGAATGCGTATGAGGAAGTAGAGGTTTAGACGCACGTATTCTTAAGGGCAGAAATTAAAAGGAGGCACAGAAACGGACGAGAGCATTTTTCCCCTAAGATCAAATCATAACCGAACTTAATTACAAAAAGAAGGTAACACCTCTCAGAAACAAGGAGCAATGCAAGGAAAATTCCATACGTGAGTTGAAAAATATACCACTCTATAAAGAACTAATTATAGATTTAAATAAATCAGATTACCTTATCACGGTTAATTGTTTTACAATCAACAGATGTGACTGCGTGAAGTATGTAACAACATATTTATTAGAAGCGCCACTTGAAAAGTTTACGTCCTGTCCAGTTGCACCACAGACTGAGATTTGGGGCATCTCTGTGACCACTTTTTGGTGGTCTCTGAGGTACAAATTTGTTTGTTCGTTGATGATGTTTATAGAAGAAATCTTCTTTTTAAAATTAAGAGCCGGGTAGCTCAGTGAGTATAATGACTGACTATGGGCTGTACAATCGGGATTCGATCCCCGATAGGGGCAGAGAATTTTCTTCTAGCCTTCTGTCCATTGGGTACTGGGAGTACCTTCCCTGAGGGTAAAGCGGGACCGAAGTGTGACGCTGACCACTCACCCCCATCTACTGCCGAGGTTAAGAATGAGTAGGAGCTATATCGCCTCCCCCCCCCCTGAGCGCCTTCTGGCGTATCGCGGGATAGCTTTACTTTTAATTATTTTATTTCTGTTAGCGTAGATTTGATTCATTGCAGTGGAACGTAGGATACCCAAACTCTGTTCCGCTAACCGCCACTGGAGCAGTGAAGAGGTGTCAAAATTTCTGGAATAAATTAAACACAGATCCAACTTTTTACTTGTAGAATCTACACAAGTTTATAACAGCATTCCAGCGACATGTTTCAGTCAGACGGAGCCATCTTCAGGCTCTTTTGCAAGGATGCGCTGGCTATATGAAATCAGATATTTTTTTATCATTCAGCTTCTTTACATCTCGCTAAAATTTCTAACGACAAACAGGAAAATAATTGAGGGGTCCACCACGACTCTTTGCAGTTTTCAATTGGTCTAGAAAAAAAACCCCTGCAAATCATTGTGATATAGTTCACAGTCCAAAACACCGCTGTTAGGAGCAGGTGGGCCCAATATAAATGTCAAAAAATAAGGTAATTTTAATGTGTGGTTTATTCAAGGACGTTGTCTGAAACTCTGGCTATAATAGCGTCGAATTTTAAGACGACTGATGGATACGATAAATGGCAAGAGGGAAACCAGGCATCTGCCCCCGCCCCCCTCCCACAACCCAAATTTCTGGGAGGAGACTAAAACTGAATAAATAAATAAATATTCAACTATGGCAAATATTAATACCAAAAATTTATTTTTGAAATGATTCTGTCCTATATGTCACAAAGTGTTTTCACGATTTATGACTTAACGCAAGTTTATATCTGTATATTTCTTTTCTTAGTATCGTTTTTTATTCTTCTTTCTTTCTTTTTTCCTTCGTTTTATCTTTCTCTGTTTCTTTTACGTCCTTCTCAGTTCAAAAATCTTCACGTTTCTCTTATCACATGAATGTTTTTCTGTCCACGCTTATCTGCTAGTAGCATCAACTGATACCATCGCTCTTGTCTCAAGTGTCCAGGGCGAGTATATTAGGCAAAGGAACGGTCATGTTTACCGGGACACACAACCATGGCGTCAAAGGTCATTATCGTGGCCATCTGCCTCATGGCAGCCGTCTTCTTGACTGAGGCTCGAAGCGCGAAGCAACTGACTGAGGTTACGAAAGAAAACCAAGAGAAGGCTTCAAATCCAGACGTAGACCTCACAACGGTAAGACTGCTCTACTTTAATCCATATGGCAAATTATATAAATGTACGAGATGTCGTGGAGGTATAGTTCCACACACGTGAGAACGAGGTTTAACCGGATGGTCAGCTTCACGCTTGAGCCAAAATTCTGGCTTTTGTAGTTAGATCTCTGCTTGGTGCGTCGTAAGGTTACTGCCCAATAGGCGGAGGGTAATCAGGATTCGTGATATTAGTTCTATAACAGACTACTACATACACACGTTAAACACGACGAAATTTATAATTTGCTTGAGCTAGGGTAAAGTCATTAAATTTTCTGGAAAATAATTTTCAGGAAGTTCTTACAATCGCGTTAAGTGATTCTTCCACAAATGTTTATAACTTGAATTTATGGCTGAAATGAAAACTACGAATAAGTTTCGAAATTAAACGTTCCTTAAAAAACTTCGAAAATATTTGGACTAATGTATTAGCGATGGGCGCGCATACTTCAACGAATAAATACGGGATGCTTCAAAATGATACTATGTATTATATAAATACATATATATGCATATATATAAATATATATATATATATATATATATGACAGTTATGTTAAAGTACACGTAACATGAAATATGGGCTGTAAAATAACAATCAAATTCGTTGTAATTTTCGGATTTGTATTCCTTTACCCTGGCTTTGTTTGTCGCCCACAGCCGGATCTGTTAGCAAAGTACGGATACCCTGCGGAGAGCCATACGGTACAAACGGACGACGGCTACCTCCTCACTCTGCACCGCATCCCGCACGGCAAGGAGGTGGCAGCAAGGGCTGACAGACCACCGGTGCTACTGCAACACGGGCTTCTGAGCAGCTCCGCTGATTGGGTGGTCAATGGACCAGGAAAAGCTTTAGGTAACCGTCTGTTACAAATCAATTAACAAAAATTATATTTAATTTTTTAAGACTTATACAGATCTCCCGTTCTGAGGAAAGTACGCCTGAAACATCTTCTCATTCAAAACGTGTAGTTGAAAGATCATCGTTAAATAATCAATTAATTTTCTCGTATTATAGCCTATCTCCTAGCAGACCAAGGTTACGATGTGTGGCTGGGAAACTCAAGAGGGAACACGTACTCCAGAAAACACGTCAGCCTCAATCCATCCAAGGACAAGTTCTGGGACTTCAGGTATGCTCATCAGAAAAGTCATCAGGATCGTCCTGGACCTCGTGTTGTCACATCAAGCACACTAAAGCGTACTAACTTCATTGTAATCCGAGAACAGACTTAATAATACACTTCGATAAACATTAAACTTGAGACCCTAAAATCTGGCGTAGATTAAGTGTGTTTAAAATAACGTACTGAGGAAATATTTGGACCTAAGAGGGAATAAGTTACAGGAGGCTAGAGAAAACTTAAATATAATGACGATTCCACAATTTTTACTGTTCACCAAAATTATTAGAATGATCACATGAAAGAGATCAGATGAGTGAAGCAAATAGATCGCATAGGACAGATTAGATATGCGTTAAAAATGTTGGTAAATAGAATTTTATAACATAACAACTAAACAAAAACTTGAATTTTAGGAAAATGAATCGGTAGAATATGGGCTGCATTAAACTGTCTTAAGAAAGGGACTACATTTGGGTTATAGCGAACACAACAACGTACCACAGAGTTTCATAAAAAACAGTTAAATTCTTGATTAGCTAAGGATATTATCAGCTGTTCCATGATGGTTCTTAGATATTATCACGCGTTATTTTAATTGAATTGTACTTCCAAATGTACTTTCAATGTTTTGTGCATCGTCTGACAGCTGGCACGAGATGGGCGTGAGTGATCTGCCGGCTGTAATCGACTACATAATTGATAAAACAGGATCGGAGCAGATATTCTACGCTGGCCACTCCATGGGTACGACGATGTTCTACGTCTTGGCTTCAGAGCGTCCTGAATACAACAGCAAGATCCGCGCCCACTTCAGTCTAGCTCCTGTCGCCTTCATGTCCCACCTGAAGAGTCCGCTGATCCAACTGGCATCGAAAGTCGACGACGAACTTAAGGTGGTTCAGCAAACATTACATTAACGATGATTTATAAGTTTATACTATAAACTGTGCAGCCAAACGCGCTTTCTGTAGAAAATTCTTAAATCCATAAACCAGAGTCCTCGAGACATTAATAGCTGTTCAGAAGGTCAAGAAATTTTCAATCTTTTTATGGAATCCAAAATTAACTTTCGTGTTCGCAAGAGGACGTATTTGTTCACAAAATGTGTTAATGCAACATGATGTAAAAAAAAATATTGAACGATAATTCATCAAAAATAGATTTCACAGTCGTCATATTGTCGTTTCTACCAACTAACTGGCTGACTGCAGGGTTAGACAAATGTCCCCGTTCTGTTGTTATATCATAGTCAAAATCATCTCACAATTCCAGCACAAACACCGAGCTTCTGTTTTATACCCGACCTCTTTTTACACTTGGTGTTTTTTTATTTAGTGTTCTGTCTGAGGACAGGTCCATATGAACAGGATCCTTCCATCCTTTTCTCGGACTGGGACCTGTTCATATACGTTCTTGGCAGATGATCCAGAAGTGGTTTGCCATTGCCTTCGTCTGTGTGTGAATGGAGTAATTGTTGGGATGCCAATGAGGAAAACTCCGTGTTGCCTAGGCCACGGCCTTGCCCAACACAAGTTATAAATTCGGGCACCGCCGGGAATCGAACCCGAGACCCCCAGGATTACAAGGCCAGCGTTCTAACTGCTAGACCACCTCATCTTATTATTATTAGTGTTCTGTCTGACGACAGGTCGATATGAACAGGATCCTTCCATCCTTTTCTCGGACTGGGACCTGTTCATATACGTTCTTGGCAGATGATCCAGAAGTGGTTTGCCATTGCCTTCTTCTGTGTGTGAACGGAGTAATTGTTGGGATGCCACGAAAAACCGGGAAGCCCGCGGAGGAAAACTCCGTGTTGCCTAGACCACGGCCTTGCCCAACACAAGTTATAAATTCGGGCACCGCCGGGAATCGAACCCGAGACCCCAGGATTACAAGGCCAGCGTTCTAACCGCTAGACCACCGTGTCTTGGTGTGCTGGTATCCGATTATTTGTTAGATCTGGTCACTACTTACAATCTTTCAGCTAATACCCACCAACATGTCTGGCACAGGCTGAGTTGTAACTGGGCACTTAATCAGACATTTACAGTGTAGTAGTCGTAATCCATCGTTTCCTTCACAGTTACTGCTGGACCTGATGGGTGTCTATGAGTTCCTGCCACACTCAGGATTGCTGACATTGATCGGAGAGTTGTTCTGCAACGACGAAGCCATTACCGTGGACATCTGCAGCAACGTCCTCTTCCTGATCGCCGGTTACGACTCATCACAGCTCAACAGGGTGAGTTCTCTTTACTGGATCGTTTCGGGAGTCAGTTCTTTTAAGTCTTCGTTACAGCCTGATGACAAGTATTTTGTCACGTGTTTATTTTATGGAAACAAGCTAATGTCGAAATCGGAACGGAAAAATGGAAAGTTAAACTAACCACCAGACCACAATGGTGCCTCTAAAATATATAAATGTTAAAAAAACAATTCAGAAAATGAAATAACGAAATTCAGCTGAGAGCATACATTCTTTTGCAGACTTTATTGCCTGTCATCCTAGGACACACTCCGGCAGGAGCATCCACGAAGTCAGTGGTTCATTACGGTCAGGAGGTCGGTTCCGGTAAGTGTCTACAGTTCTAAGGGAATCATTAATAAATTAACAAGTCACCTCACATAAACTGACCAGCATTGATGGCTTATTTATTGGTTACAAGCAATGCGATGGACAATTTGCGTTTGGTACAATGACGGTAGTCAGACATCATGTTACATTAGATAGGATTTCAGGGTCTCACGGCGGCAAGATTAAGCTGGCTGTCTTCTGGGTGACTACAGACCAGAAGAAAACCATCTTCATTTTACAGTACTCTGCAGACTATCTGTTACAAATGGCAATGTGTATCTGCAGGCAAATTCAGGAAGTATGACCACGGGCTGATTGGGAACCTCTTTACCTACGGGCACATTTCGCCACCTGAATACGACCTGAAGAAGGTAACAGCTCCAGTGTTTCTGTACTACAGTGACAACGACTGGCTGGCAGCTGTCAAGGTCTGTATTGCACGTCGCTGTGCCCAGGATTGTCCTATTGTGAATAATTATTGTTTGTAGACCTAAAACGGGCAGTAACATTAGTAGCTACAGGAGTAGCAACAGACGAATTAGGTGTAGACGGGGAAGATAATATTAAAAATGATTTTTAATGCGAAGTGAAGCTGTAGATTGAATAAAACTGACTTAGGATAGAGTTCTATAGCGGAAACCTTTGGCCTGAAGGCCAAAAGGTAGGAGGACATTGTGTAGACAGAATGACGGACCCATTACAAGAAAATAGTTTTAAGAAACAGATTAAGAAGTAAACTGGATTCAGTTGGATTTGGATAGGGTTCAATGGTGGGTTTTTCTGGATTGGGTAATGAGTAAGCGGTTACATTGTTATTGTTATTGTTATTGTTGTTGTTGTTAATATTATTTCTAACACTCAGGCGAATGCCACAGAAAGATATTGTTTGTCATTTTATTGTCTTGTTTTACGAAACTGTACTTGTTAGCCATTTTGTATCATAAACCGCGTTACCACTTTTGTTCTGTTTCTAGGATGTTGATGAACTGTCTAAGAAACTACCGAAAAGTCCGCAAAAGATCCACGTGAAGCTGGAATCATTCAATCACCTGGACTATTTGTGGGCTATCGATGCGGAGAGTCTTGTGTATGACGAGGTGATTGCCCAGATAAACAATTTATGATTTCATGACGACAATTTAAAAAGCTAACGCAAATTACTTCAAGTAGTCGCGTGTTCACAAAGGAAGAAACATTTTTCAGTCGCCCATCAATAACACTGTATTAACAGTACAGTCATATTATCTATGATAAAAATACAGACTGTGTGTTAGACAACAAGAGAATGCAACGAAGCCTGAAATACAAGAAAAGTGTTCTAACGAAAGAAAATTATAGATATTTCCGAAATTTAAAACAAACGTGTGCTTATACTGTATACAAATAAATACAAATAAAATCACATTAGCAGTAAGTAAATGTTTTTGTTAATTCAACGTGTTTTCCTTGTATAAATAAACAATATATTTTTATAGTCTAATATGGCCTATCCGACGTTTAGATATGCTTATTAATTTTGGCTTTTGGTTTCAAAGGCGCCACCTACAACTTCAAATATTTTCTAATTATTTTCTGAAATTTGGCTTCCAAATAACTCAAAGCAACAATTAATTCTTCACTCTTGTGGTAGAAAATTTCAAAAATTTCTACGCTATTTCCTGTTTCACACTGTCACTGCCCTAAATCTAACAGCATCCATTTGTTGCCCAGAAATGGATAATGTATCTGCATTAAAACTAACTTATTCCCGTTTCTTCACGTGAGAGCAGATCTACCACATCAGGTCGGCGATAAGATTACAGGCCCGTTTTAAGATGTGTTTTCATAATGGCCGTATAGTATCTACTATATTTAAGCCACTTATAATCCATCTAAAACGTTACAACATTGTTGCCTCGAGGCCAAAAGTCTTTCCCAAACATCAATACGCTTCTGGGCGATCATCGCCTTGATGTTGGAGGCAGCCAACCATCTTCATACTTGCCGCCGTTAGAACCTCAAATCCTACTCTGAGCGTGACCAACATGATAAAATTCCGCCTTCTACCCTGAGATGGCACATCAGTGTGAGTAATCTACTGCCATCTGTCAATACAATTATCAAGCAACACCGTATTGAATTCTTGGCAGCGAAGATGACAAGCAAACCATACGCAACATAACCAAACATATTTTGAATACCGGACACGCATACAATACAATAACAGAAACAATGGACATATTAAAAATAGTACCAAACAAAAGACATAGAGATACAATAGAAAAATATTACATACAACAAACATTTAAACAAAACATTTGTCTAAATGATAACAACATACACCTTAATAACCCCATATATATTTATTTTCACAGTCTATACACAAACGTTGTAATTAAATGATGTTGTTAAAATTATATAATATTGAAACATTTATGTAGTATAAAATATTATATTTTGGCGCTTTTTATCGTAAATACGATTTTACATTATTTAGCGCTTTTTTACGACATGTTTCGATGGATAAGACCTCATCTTCAGGTTTATATCTATTTTATAATATTTTAAAATTATTAGATATTTTTATGCAATGTATTATAACAACACCTTCGCCCAAATATGGAAAAACAAATTTAATGAAACATCACCAAAAAACTACAGAAATCATAATTGAGTTTTAAGCTCTTAGATATATTTTACACCTGATGATGGTTTTATAAAAACTGAAACATGTTGTGTAAATGTTCCGAAATGTAAATCGATCAATCGATAAGGAACATGAATGATATTTTATTATCTTAATTATAAGAAATTTTAAATAAAATTATGTTGTGATCAGACGGATTAAAATAAATAATTGATATAATATTCACAATATGACGCAATTACACTATTTTATAACCACACAGTTCAAAGTTCACATCAGAAAATATTAAAAATAGGAGTGACATACAGTGGTGATTCAAACAGCGAATGAATCATGACTTGCTTGCCATAAAACGCTATGAGTCTATTATATCACTGCCTCAGGTGCAGTCATATCAAACTCGAAATTGTTCTTTGTTATGTTTTGTTATTTTTTTCAGTGATCACGTGGTTTTCACTAGATTAAAATATTATGGTGTTGAACCTGTTATTTCTTATAATAATATTTCCCATTTGGGAAATATCAGTTGCAACCTACTTTTAACACTCATTATTTGTGCAACTACTCTTGCGTCGATAACGCAGCATTTTTTTAGCAGGATTTAAGGTTTTTGTGGCGATGTAAGCAAAGATGATCTTTGTCAAAGAATAATTTTTTTTAATATGATTTAGATGAGGTTCGGCTTCAAATGGCCTAATCTGGTCTGCGTGTAGCGTTATTTTCAAAGTAACTAATTCCACGCAGCAGTCATTATCGAGAAGCTAGTCAAAAAATTTCCCGCCTTTTACTGAAACAGTAAGTTCATTACCGCGTTCACAAATCCAGCTTACATGCAACAATAGTTTCTACATAACCCAATTTTATGCATTTGATACACACACACACCTGTCGTCATATTTGAATACTACATAACCCTTTCTAATATTCAGTCTCACACTTACATCCACACTTCAGTTTCATCAGATTCTATTTGCGGCAGCGGACTGTGATAACTTCTGAAAGCTAAGTTCAGTCTCGTGACAGTGATAACTTAACTTGTTGAAAGAGAGTCACTTCGTGGGAGACAACGTTTGAGACCAGAAGCGCCATGAAACGCATCGCCTTCACCATCCTCACGTTCCTAGGGACTGTCTCTATGAAGGAACACAAAGTGGTGTCAAGTTACAACACCGATGTGGATCTGACAACGGTGAGTACAAGAAACTCGTCTAAGATTTAATATCAGGAGAAAGATGTATTGGAATAGGAACCCACTTACACATATCTCAGACACCAATCAACAGTTACCATCACCATGACAACCCCCCCCCCTTTTCCATTTGTAAGTCTAATGTAGTGTTGCAAAATGGACGGATCGTGATGCTATGTGCATACGTACATTCAATACGCAACCCTGCAGAGCGCCTATTAAAATTGCTTCGTTCATCTGTCTGCCCGTACATGTGAAAGAACTCGAAAATGGACAGATATATTTCTGAAACTATCATATTGAAAAATTGTATTAAATATTTTCTGTCCATTTCAGCCTTTATGTAAATCGACAGTTTTAATGATCACTTTATATAAGAGCAAAAACAGCCTATTTTTTAATCTTTTCTCAATACTGCTACTGACATCATCTCCATGTCTCATAATGGGAATATTCTGTCCAATTCATTAACCATCATATCATTTAACACTAGAAAGTCTGATCCACTGACAGCACTGTTGTGATTGTGTATGTATGAGATGATATCCTATTTAAATGTGATTTCACTGTATCTGTGCAGCCACAGCTGATCCGCAAATATGGTTACCCATCAGAGTCTCACACTGTTGAGACAAGTGATGGTTACCTGCTGACATTGCACCGTATTCCACATGGCAGGACATCTGAGTACAACTCCTCAAGAATACCTGTGTTTATTCAACATGGTCTTCTGAGTACCTCTGCAACTTGGGTATTCACTGGCCCTAATAAAAGCTTACGTAAGTGTCAACATCAGATAACATTTAAATATTACCTTAGGTGACAGAGTACAGAGAAGATTACTAAACTAGGAACTTCATTATTTGTATTCCTGTCTTGGTATTTTTAAATAATTTCATGGAGCAGGGTCCTACTTGAGAAGCTAATAGTTGCTCAGGTAGTCAAAAGATCCTACTCATGAGTCTGCCACCAGTTATTTCCTAAGCAATATTAAACCAGTTCACACCTTCCCACACTGTTTAAGGTCCATTTTAATATCGTTCTCCTGTATATGCGTAGGTCTTCAAAGTGATGTATTCTGTTCTGGGTTTTTGACTGATATTTTGTTGGCTATGCATCTTTGGTTGTCATATTATTTCCATACAACAAAGTCCTCTTGAGAAGCTGCTGATCACTTAACCAGTCAAGAAATTCCCATCTTTTATGGAACCTGAATGTTCATTAACTAGGCTCATAAGAGTCTGCCATGGATAACTACCCTGAGTTAGTTACGTCCACATTCTAAATCCCACTTTCCTTGAGGTTTGTAGTTAATAACACTTCTTTGTAATCTGTCATCTAGCATCTGGTGAATGGAAGTGTTTCAGTTGACATCCTAGCCAAAATAATTTTGAATCGCACAAGAAATGCCCAACAAAATGCCAGTACGTGTCGTTACAAGTATTTTAAGTTTCTACCTTCTAATGGCCTACGATATTTCCTTGTTCCTCAGCCTACATTCTTGCTGACATCGGCTATGACGTCTGGTTGGGCAATGCCAGAGGGAACACATACTCAAGGGGTCATGTTTCGCTGAACATTGATGACCCTAAGTTCTGGGATTTCAGGTAGGTCTAACCAACAGGCTGTTTTCATGGAGGTGAAGGTGTCAGTGTTGGTCTTTTGCTTTGTAGTGCTACGTGGACTTGCAGGTAGATACTAATGTTTTGGAAGATCATACAGCCTCCATCTTTCGAAACATTGGTCTACAAGTCCACATTACAGCTCGGAAGACAAACATTGACGTCTTTGACGCCGAGAACCTCAAATCTCTCAAAGGTAACTCAGACAAAGGAGATAATATCCGCATATGTGTTTTTGTTTTGTTTAATTTTTTGGTGTAGTTTTCATGAGATGGGTGTCCATGATCTTCCTGCAGAAATTGACTGGATTCTTAATGTCACTGGACACAAGAAACTCTTCTATATTGGCCATTCTATGGGCACTACCATGTTCTACGTAATGGCATCCATGAGACCCGAATACAATGACAAAGTGCAATTTATGGTCAGCCTGGCACCTGTGGCCTTCGTGGGACACGTGAAGAGTCCAATAAGGATCTTAGTGCCATTTTTGAAGGACTTTGAGGTGAGCCACGTGGAACCAGATCAGTAAATAAAATATAATTCAGGAGTAGTGGTATTACAATGGTACTTAAAGAAACAGGATACTTGTGCATGGATTGGATTAATTTGGGTCATGATAAGGACAAATCGTAGGCTTTTGATTCTAGAAAGGTGGGGAATTTCTTGACCAGTTGAGCAATTATTAATTTCTCGTGGACTGTGGTCCTTGGGTCACTTCATGTGCAGTAGATGTTCACGCTCAGAATAAGTAGATGGAAATAACAGAACACTAGGTCCAGTAACAGTTAAGTCTATACATAAACAGAAAGACAAGTGTAGCTATGTTTAGTCTTAACATTCTTTCAACAGATACAAAAACTAAAAGTTGATAAGATGAACTCCATTTTGTATTTTCCAAATGAGTGTTTTAAGGTTTTGTGTCCATCACGATCATCTTGGCATTAATGGCACCATTTTCAAAGGTCGATTGTCAAATTCTGGTAAACATGACAGAAGTGTCATGCTGTGCACATATTTACAAGTTTGTTGACACTTATATTAAACTATAATTGTATACTTCTCAAAAAAGTAAATACAGTTATTTGGTGGGAAAAGGTGAATCTTTGAAACACCTTTCTTCTTAAACTCTGCAGTTTTTGCCTGAAACGTTTTTCACGCTAGCTTGTATCCTGTTAAGAAAATTCTTCATTATTATGTCAAAATAAACCTTCGCAACATTTCTTTAATTTCAGTTTATCTCCTATTACTTGGGAAAAGGTGAATTCCTACCTCACAATAAGATAATTCAGTGGCTAGCAAGGTATGGGTGTGAACTCATGACAACAGAGCAGAAGATATGTGAAGATTCAATGTTTGTCATTGCTGGCTTTGACAAAGAACAATTCAATATGGTAGGTATTGTTCATATTTCATATAAATCTGTTCAGCAGCCTGTGTCAGCAATGAAAACCATCGGAATGGCTTTCCAGTCCTAGCAATTATAAAAGCAGCTTTCCAAGATTAAATAATAATACTCTGAGAAATGCATAAAACTTACAAAATATCTACAGAGACGTACATCTCACATTACCAGAGAGAGATAGTTAGTACATATTGGTTACGTAAGTAACTCTACAGCGTAGACCCCTTCTTGTGAAGTTGGCAGCCACTTAGATGGTCAAATAATTACCTGCATTTTATGGAAGATGAAGGTATATTACCATATTCAAGAAATCCTACCTTGTATTCCTGTCCTGAACCAATTTATGCGCTCACATCCTATTTAAGATCTACTTTAACAATTTTATCCCATCTATGCACAAGTCTCCCAAGTGGTCTTTTCCTTTTGGGTGTTTTGAATAACATTTTTTAAGCATGTCACACCTCAATGTGTGCTGTGTGTCCAATCAATTTCATTCTCCTTGATTCAAACACCCTCATAATATTTTGTGGTGTGTACAAAGCCATGGTCCCTATTCTTCTGTCTTTCAGACTTTGTTACCCGAGATCCTAGGACACGCTCCTGCTGGGACTTCCACAAAAACAGTTGTACACTATGCTGAAGAGATTAAGAGTGGTATGTAATCCTGATGATAATCCCTATACATGTCGTGAAGATGAGAACTTTAGGCATAGTAGGAATCTAGCAGAGTGCAGTCGTTCTTGTGAATCTCACATCTGGTTTAAAATATTCCCTGCTTTTTTCCTAAGAAGGAAAATTTATTATATTGTTCACGAAAGTATGTCTTTGAATCCTATCCAGAAACAGATCAGCCTAGTACCAACTAAGGTTTCCCAACAATAATTCTGTATGCCAGCAAATTCTACCAGACTACACAGCGGAATAACCCAGAAGACAGCCGTCTTCATATTCACCGTTCTGAAAACCTCAAATTATACTTTAACATTCCTGTATTTTTTCTCATTTCATCTATGATTACTTTCTTACTATTATATCAGCGTCAAAGGTTATTTAACATCAAATGAGATGAGAGAACGATTATAAATGGAGACGTGGAAAGGAGTTGAGAGGAAACTGTCATGACCTAATATAATTATTTAATTCAGTGTACTATTCCATCATTCATTGGAGAGACTGGATTAAGCCCACAAAAACTTCAATCAGCAAATGCAATACCTGTTTTGAGACTCTAACAAATTACCTCTCAAATATAAAATCCATGCGAGATTTTTATGGTTCTCAAGGCAGTGAAAATGTGTCCCATGATTGTAATACTCTGTAATCTTGTGGATCGTTACATAATGTCACAATTAGGGGATCACATTCCATAAATCCTGCATGTTACCACTTTAAAAACCATGCTTGGTGTTGCTTAACATATAGACAGTTTGCACTAAGCAAAGTGGTGACTGTACAGTTTGAAAATCACAATTAACTTTCCCTGAATTTCCAGGTAAATTTCAGCAGTTTGACAATATATGCAGCAGCGGAAGAAATGTCATTAAGGGCAATTACTGTGACAGGGTGGGGTCTGGGCAAGAGTATAACCTGACCAAGATTACAGTTCCTATTGATCTCCATTATGCTGACAACGACTGGCTGGCATCTCCCGTGGTATGTATCGAATGAACCATGTGCTTAATTATCACTTTGAAGCCAAAGCTCATCTGAATAATATTTAAAAATTCAGTTCGTACCTTAAAGAAAACAGTGCATCTATAACTTATCCTTTGCACATTCTATTAATAACGGCTTTTAATTATTCTGACTTCCAGAAGAAAACAGAAACTTCTGCCCTTAAATGTGGCAATGTATCAGCATCCAAAACCACTTTTAAATAATATTGCACATTCTTTCTAACATATAAAGGTGTTCTTCTTTCTGGTTTATACATTTTAAATTCACCTCTGCATGTGGTTTGTTGCCTGCAGACTGAGACACACTTCTCTACAGGTACAGACACTTAAAATTGTATGATGATGAAAAATTTAATTATCTGTATAAAGTGCATATATGTACTCATGCATCTGTCGCATGTTTCCATAAATTTCATCAAGGGACTCCTAAGAAAGTAGCCTACCTTGATATCCCATGGCTAGCCCCTCCCACATCTTTATGTTCTCACTGTTCATGAATATCTGTCCATGTCATTTTATTCTCTGTAAGTTTTATATTTGAAGCAGCTTTGTTCAGTAATAACATCTATTAATTATTAATTATTTTATTAACAGGATGTGAAACAACTAGCCAGAAAGCTAAAGAGTAAAGTGGAACTAACCAGAGTCCCATTTTCAAAATTCAACCACATTGATTTTGTGTGGGCCAAAGATGCTTATAAGCTCGTGTATGAAAATGTCATTAATGCTCTCAAGAAACATGAGTCCAGGTTAACTTGAAAAGCAATGAGTACATTAAAGAATAAATATTTGGTGTTTAGACAGTAGAAGAGTATGCTGTGTTTCTGCGAATGAAAATTTCCTGCTTTCTGTACTTATTTTTTATTATTTTTATTATTATTATTATTATTATAAGACTGAGAAGATTTACCAGAGATTCAGAAGTAGCAAACCAAAGCTGATGAGTGCACAGAAGAGCAAATGGCACAGAACATTTGGACCCCTCATATTTTTTTTCAAATAATAACATATATGTTGAGATGACTGAGAAAAGTTATCCAGAAAAATAATATAAATGTGATACTCATATTGAAGACATTAAATTTTAAAGTCTACGAAGACTTGCATGTACCACATGCCCACTATATTAGACTGTAATCAATTACATAGACTGAGTAAGAAAAATAAATTATGCAAAGACTGTCTTGCAGTGAATTATATTGATCTCCCACAATCTCCTTTGAGTGTCAGCTGTTTCTTTTTTCTTCTCAAGTCTCTGAGAAATAGACTGCAAGAATATCTGGCATGTTTAACTCTGATCAGTGCTGAAGCGCTGAGGCTTTATTCACCTGTGCCAAGGACAACAAGTTTCTTTGTTTGTTGTTCAAGTGTTTGTTTAAGGTGCATTTTTTTATACAAACAGTCAGTGTGTGTGTTGGAGCACAGTGGACATAATGACTCTCATTTATTTAGTAAGTTCTCCAAAAATACTGAGTGGTTTTATTGTTTAATGTTGCTTTTAGTAGGCCATACTTCTGCACCTCAAGCCTAAAGCCATGGGAAGCTTCTTGGCATCCAATCCACACTTTCAACACCATTTCCTTAAGATCCATTTTGATATTATCCTCCCATCTACACCAATGTGTTCTGAGTGGTATCTTCCCTTCAGACTTCCCAACCAGAATTCTGTATGCATTTCTTATCTCCCCATGCATGCTAAATTCCCTATCAGGAGATGAAGCAAAAATTCGTTTTTGGAAACTGTCTGTGCTCTTTAAGCGTCTGAGATGAAGGAAGTAAATGGGACCCATCACACCCGTCTGTCAACTTTCTCGAACCCAAATTATGTTGTCAAGTTTTGCATCTCGTAACGTTGTGCAGCTTCTACCAACATGAAACATCTTTTGCTCATGTCTGTTTGATAAATTATATCTTAGAAAGGGTGTCTTGACATAGGGACAGTGCTACTGTATAATACACATCTCTGGCCCGAGAGCTCGGAATGGGAGTGAAATGGAAGGTCGCCGAGAGGGGAGGTTAGCAGTAGAAAGGGGGGGGGGCGGAGAATTGGCTCAGTGTGTGTTCAGACTGCGAGCGGAAAGGCGGCGCGTTACACATTGTCAAGTGTTGTGTTGCTGTGTGTGTAAATACCAGGTTGTAACGAAAACAAATTTTCTTGGAATAGACAATGGGATTTAAATCAGTATAGCGCATCACCAAGTTTCCTCTCTTTTGCTGAGTAACGACATTACACGTAAGTAGTTTAATGAAATACTTTCATATGAGTTTTGCGTATAAATTGGCAGCCCTTATGAACAATGACCATGCCGTAATATCTGAAATAAATGACACGCGAACGTCAAATATCTGAACATAAATTTTAATTTCACTAGCCTCTCTAAGTTTTCATAATTAAGAGCAGTTGCTAAGTTCTTGTGACAATCTTATAGATGTAGTGTGAGAGAATATGTACCGAAGAAGCGTATATAATAGTTCGTCATGACACCAGCTACTTGAATGTTGGCGAGAAATAAAATCGAATCGACAGGACGTGCTTGTGAGTACACTGTGGTGGTAATTCGAAAATGGCGGGGTTATGCAAATGTGTTCACGTTGGAAGACAAATGACTAGGTTAAATATAGCGTTTAACCTAATTAGTTTTGAAGATCAGATATTTGTGAGAAACTTGAGGTCGAAATAAGAACTTACACAGCAACTATTTAGGAAGAAAGCAGCGACAAGTGTTCTAAAAATGAACCGTGTGCATGTCTGGACTGGATCTTTGCCGTTTAAAGATACTTCATTACTTAATACACCGCAGGCTGTATAGTTTATCCCAGTAATCTGAAAACTTACAGGTACGTACTAATTTGTCTATGTTTGATTTCGCTTCATGTAAATCAGATCTATTTCCCTGAAATAATTATTGCTAGTACCAGCATATAAGATGTACCTGTAACTTAGTATTAATTATTTAGTTCCTTTCTCCAGAAACATAGTACATTTATAAAGCCTTAACCAAGGGGCTAATGTCACATTCCTCCCCTCAACGCGAATAATTAATCAATACTTCGAAGTTGAAGTTCGTCTAAATAGTATTTAAAAATGCAGTCCCTAACTCAAAGAAAACACTCTCTCTCTCAAAAAGGTAAAATATTCGCAGTTTAGTCAGACTATACGAGACCCATAAATATGCTGTATGAACAAAATTCACTTCGCAGATGATTCGTGTAGTCATTGTCACTGTATTTCAAAAGGGTTAAAGACCAACATTTGGATGAAAGCACGAACTGCAGATCAATACGAATGTATTCTAAAGCAGCGTGTATGGTATTTTATTAAGCTTTTTCTTTTACGAGTAACAGCCCACTAGCCATTTTGTGACTGAAATACTTTTGAGTCGAATGTGCACGTTAATATTGCGCTTTTTAAACATTTCATTGACGCAAATATCGCTGTAATTGCTGCCATAAAGAAGAGTATTTGGTTGCTTTCTCCCATATTTGTAACAGCGTCCTATTCGTTGTTTAAACCTTTGAAGTATTTCACTACAGTCACGAAATTAGACGATTCAGGTCAGAGAACGAGGCCCCCCCACCCCACCCCAACGCTACTGAGCACCCGTATTGCTATGGGGCTCATCTCAATTTTCCAGAAGTACAAATACCAAAGTGACATCCATCCTCAGAATTAGTTTTGGCATGAAATTCTCCGAACAATAGATTTGAAGTATGATTGTTCAGCTGACAAACGTCATACTGCACGTGAGATCAGCTTGAAAGGAAATCGTTGCTAACGTGAGATAACTCTGAACAAAATTATTTCACAACTCATTGTTCTTTTCCAACAGTCTCGTTCGTCTTTTTTGTGTGTATAAAAAGGTGTGATGAATTGCGGATGTCTGAAAATGTCCAACAGCTGATTATGCTAACACTGCGTAGGCTTATCATTTAGGATGTTTTAGAAAGAATCGCTAAGGATAATAATTGAACTGAACTTTGAGGCGGATGGATACGATTATGTAACAAGGAACTTCATAATTTGTAGCTACTCCTCACCAAATATTAGGGTGATCAACCCAAGAAGGATCCTTAAACTTGAAGGGATTCGATTGTAATGCTTGGATAGGCCGAGGAAAACCATGAAAAGTCTCGGTCATCCGATGTTCCGGCCGAGATTTGAAACGGACACTTCCCAAATGCACGTCTAGAACGTTGGTGATTCAGTCAGCTTGTATTGTTAAGATGGTAAAGTTGCGTCATATTGTGATATAATAAGTATATATTTAAATCTTGTCCGTCTAATCACAATAATTCTTATTAAATATTAAAATATTACAATAATTAAAATTTCACCATTTTAAATATTTAAAATGGTGAAATTTTAATTATTGTAATATTTTAATATTTAATAAGAATTATTGTGATTAGACGGACAAGATTTAATATATAATATACATTGTATCGTTAAGTTGCTATATGCTCTGGTTTAGATGATCTAAGAACTTGAACACAGCTGTGTTTAGCACAAAGCTGTCCTTCGTAACACAAATGTCTCGTTGTGCTCAAGGCGTGAGAAGAAAATCAGACTATTTACTGCTGAAGTTTTTGTTGTACAAAGTTACTGCGAAATACTTGGCAATGGGTTTTACGAGAGCTGCTTGCATAATTTCAGTTTTAAAATAGCTTCGGTCATTTTCCTTTGGTTGTTTTATTGCTGGCAGTGTGACGTATTTACCTATGTTACATCCAATGGAATTACCCAAACACTCTTCCAGAACTCGCGAAATGGGAAACTGACACGTAAAAATTATGACGTCATCTACCATTGAAATAACCATCTTAAATAAGCAAGGCTGAAGGTCATATTCTATGTTAAATTATGATGACAGGTCTGTTACTAATTCTTAACTAACCGAGCGAGTACCAGTATTTAGTTTATATCTTCCTGTATAAAGCCACGTGCTGGTTGGTTGGTGATCATTTTTGTAAATCATTATTAGACAGCAGGGAGTATGTGTCTTGAACTCGAAATTTATCCACTGTCACATTATCAGTGGTCTTATGAACAAAACAGAGAAGCTAATTTAAATCTAGTGAACTAAAATACGTTAATGTAAGTTTTAAAAATGTTTTTCTCTCTTCTCTAGTAATTCAGTTGTTTGCCTTAAAATGATTGTTGACAGAATAGCATAAGTCCAGAGGAACTTGACTTTTAATAATTATATGCTGATTTGTTATACTTTTCAATAAATTATTTTCAAGTTCTCCTTCATGTTTTCCAGTCATTCTTGGCGAGTGATTCTGTATTATGTTATTAAAATGTAAATTTGCAGGATCTGCTCATAATATGGGTAAACTGATTTAATTGTTTTATGGAGTGACGCTTAACTCGTATCGGGAATTTCTCCGCGTTCCGTCGCCGTTGAGAATCGGACTCATGTTCATATGAAGATCTCTGACTGCGAATGACCCCAGAAATATGATCCCAAAGTGTTGATATAAAGTCACCGGACACTCTATAAAAGGACAGCGCGTGTTCGGTGGACACCGCCCACAACAGTTGCAGAGGTCAGAGTTGAAATGTGACTGAGATAATGTACAGATGGACACAAAATTCGTGCAGCTGATAGTGGACCACCTGTCAGTCCCACACCTTGATTATTCCTTTTCGAAACTAGCTACTATAAAGAATAAGAAACTAATGGGAGGATAATATTAAAGTTGGTTAAAGGAGGCGGTTTCTGAAGATGCTTTACCAACTGCACTGGTTATACTCCTCCGGATGCATGCCCGCAACTTAATTCCAGACCATTTCAAGGAAGACTGCTCCGAGGATTTAAAGCTCTCATCTTTGAAAGCAGGATTTTTTTATCTAGAATACTCCAACTTAAACAAGACTAAAAAATTACGTAATCGACAACAGCATCGGGAAACAGACGTACAAATAATAATTTTAAATGGGTCATGTCCAATGGCAGGATTTGGTTTTAGCGTGTAAATTTGAAGGTAGACACCAACGTTTCGGAGGAGCATATTGCCTCCATATTCAGGGATGGCATCACATGAACTGTGCGACCCACCGACACAGGCTGAATTCCACTGGAGTGTTTTTCCTGTTGTTGAAGGCGTCATTCGAAAGTAATTTTTTCAACTCTCGACATTCCAGACTTGGTAAAGTGAAACCATTCCTACCCCTTTCATTTTGAAAATAGGTTCTGTCCACCCTACCCCACCCAGGCAGGAAGTGGTAATACGCCGCCCCTTTTCCACAATAACTATCCCTCCCTCTCGCTCATAATATCAATTACGACCCTTACTATGTGTAATTTCGATTACATTAGTGTGTCTACACGGCGTATAGAAAGTCCCGTTTGATAAGTACCTACTTCAAGCGTCTGAGTCAGATCGTCATCTAATGTAATAAGCCCATTAAAATTCAGTGGAGAACCATTTATTTCGTATCTTAATCGCTTTCCTTGTTTTACCATTCCTTTATTTCATCCACTTCCTGCCTAATCTCCTTCCCTCCAGAACACGCCGTTGGAGACGAAGACTGAGCTTATTTTAAAATAAGCGAACAAGCAACCATGAAAGCACGAAACTGTGTTCTACACAATACAGATAAGAGGAACGTCCTTAAAAGAACTTTGCAAGAACGTGGCACAAATTTCAGGTGTTGTCTTCTCTGTGTTTCGTCATTCGTGAGCCTGCGAACTCGTTACTTCTCGTTCTTCAATCGTAAAAGTAGGTCCAGACAGAACTCAAGACTCTGAGGCATAAAACTAGAGGAGGTAATGGAAGTTTCTACACAACCTGTACGTGTCTATAACGATCCAACAAAATCACATTTCCTGGAGCAAATTGGCAATTTCAGAAAGTAATTTCCGTAAGATCAAATTCCTGCCTCCATGTTACATAACTTTGCGTTTATGAAACAGAAACCCGATTTCTCGTAACTCTGACACCTTTTCTATATTTACATACTCATTATAGTTAAAAACCTTTGAATAGTCTGTGACGTCCTAGCATGGACGAAACCGGGAATCGATCCACGAATGCTTCGTATGATGGTCCAACGCTTTACCACTGAGTACAACCCACTAGATTACATCAAAGGGTGTAATTATGTTAAGCATAATCAATATCAAAAGCGTTGGGGTAGTTAACACCAGAATTGTGGTTTCGAGTTCAAAACTCGTTTGAGGAGGTAAATTTTTAAATGAGCGTGTGAGTTTTGGCAGCACTGCCCCT